AGGAAAAGAAAAAGGAAGGGGGGGGGGGGGGGGGGGGGGGGGGGGGGGGTTGTAAGGTACGATGGGAGGAGGACCAAGTATGTATATAAGATGCTGCCCATCGCCTCCCGACTTCACCAACATTCATCTCTCCTCAAGGAACAGAAGAGCAACAATCATCTAACAACAAGGTAAGGGAAAGAAAAGATGGATAGAAGAACAGATTGTAATTGTGAATTTTAGAGTTATACGCTAGATGGCTTTCATGCTGCCTGATGTTTCTAATGAGCTTTTGGACCAGACTGCTAAAAAAAAGGCCTGGGCATCTTTTGCACAGACAGAACATCACATCATATGCTAAAGAAAAGTTTGATGCATCGAGCTGCTATTGGATCAGATTTTTTTAACATGGCTCTCCACCTCAAGTTTTATGTGGCTTGTGGCTCATCTCTATAATGTATCTGAGGAGGCTTTTCTTCTCCTCTGAAGTTATTTTTGCCAACACAACCCAATATGTTTATCAGTTCATCCATCAGGACAGGGCTAATCTCAAACCCAGGGCAGCGTTTGGTTAAATATATGTGTGTGTGTAGTGAGTTGTGGGCACTCAGATTGGCTCAGATTACAACTTCCTCCGCAGGTTCAGAGTGTTTTCTCCAGTTTAGGATTTCACCCTTATCAGGCAAGTCACATTTCCCTTCTGTAGTTAAGTTAAGCCCCTCGTAGGATGATCTGGAGAGGGAAGGAGGGGTCAAAGCATGTTACGCTGAGAATATATAACTGCTTCTTTTGAAATGTTTTTACTGTTGTGGTCTGGAGAAAATAAGTCTGCTTTGTGCTTTTAAATATTTAAAATGAGACAGAAATACTAAAGAAAACCTTTTGTGCATTCTTGAGTGCATTTATAAGTCTGAATACAGTCACTCACTACAGTGACCAGTAAATCTTTCTTTCTAGAATGTCTAATGTTCTAAACTTAGAGAATGCCTCCACTCTGGAGACCGCCATGCAGCTGATGATCCAGACGTTCCATAAGTACTCTGGAAATGAGGGCGACAAATATACTCTTAGCAGACAGGAACTCAAAGAGATGCTAACGCAGGAGCTGGGCAACTACCTTGGGGTAAGGGGAAAACAGAGTTTTGATTTCTTTGTGAAAGTCAGATGTTTCTGATTAACTTTATCTGCACCTCTCTTGCTCCACAGAACGCACAGGATAAGAATGCGGTAGATAAAGTTATGGGAGACCTGGATTCAAACAACGACGGTGAGGTAGACTTCACAGAGTTCGTCATCCTCGTTGGTGCCCTCACTGTCGCCTGCAATGACTTCTTCCTCGAGTATCACGAAAAGGATGGAAAGAAGGTTGAAAAGAAAGAGTAGAGCTGCATTTCTCTGAACAAAAGCCAACACATGACCAGAGAATGATGATGAGGGGGAAATGAGGGGAGAAGGGGAATATGTGTATGTGTGTATGAATCTTCCTTAGGCTACTGATACTAAAAAAGGTTTCACATCATCTCTGCATCCACATCCTGCATCCATACAATCCTGGGTACACAAAATGTTCCATGAGGCACAACATGTTTCCGTCCCCTGAACCTATTAGGAATGAAAGCATTAAGAATGAGATTTTGACATGGTCTTTGTTGAATATGTGAATATGTGTTTCTTCCTTTCTTTTGTTTATTAACAATTGGAGTTGTTTATTTTAAAATAATCTCTCCATATAACAATAAACTGCAGATTTAAAATAAATAAATGAGGCTGGTGTCCTTTTTTCGCAGCAGATGGAAGTGCAATCTCGTCAACAAAATGAGGCTACTGATGATAATAGTTTGATAATAGTAACTGTATTTCGTCACTAAATAAACATTACATTTAAAAGATATTGTTGACGAAAATGTGAAGAAGAAAAAAAGATATTAAAAGGTATGTTTTTTTAAACGTGTTACATTAGAGGCAGTTATAAAGCAGTCGACTGAATTCAGAAGACTTGGAATAACGCACACAAATCATATGGACTACATCTATGGTAGGCTACTTGAGAAGTTCAAATCACCTTGCATCTTCTAGATGATTATTCTGGTTTGGAGAGAAATAAGGGGGGAGTAGATTTTTATTTTAGACCATCTGTTCCATTATTGTTTTCTCCCACAAAGCATTATTACTTACTACATATTTTATATTGTATATTTTGGGATATCGTAAGAGCTATATTTGTAGGCCTGTACATAAAATGTTTTCTGTTGCACTTTCTCTGAACCAAAATGATATTTTACCCACTAAAATTAAATGCCATTTAGAGTAAAACTGACTAAAATTAATGAATTTGAAATAACACAATACTGACCCAATTTAAAGAATATTTTCGTCACAAGACAAAAATGACAAACGAAATACTCTATAAAAATTAACACTGATAGCAAGAGTCTTGACCATTAGAGGGCAGTATTGAATCAAAGCTGAGGTTAGACAGGAAAGGTCTCGGGTATTTGTCTAGAAGGACAACTCGATTCTTCATGTTTGCAGACAGTCGCTTACTCAATGTAGGAAAGACTGCATGATCATGCTCATTTATTATTCAATAAAATTATATCTTCTTGCATTCTACATGAAGCATTCACTATTTTCGTCACCGGGGATGTAGGAACATACAAAAGCAAGGTCCTGTTTTATGTAGCATAAACTGAAGGTCACATTAATATAATATGTGGACGTGCATTTCCTTTTTCTAAGCTGCTCTCATGAAAATTTGGCTTGAAGTGCTTTCATAAAGGAGGATGCGCAGCCAACTTGAAATAAGACATGAATTTATTATGTTGTCAAGAGGTGGCAGTGCCAACGGATGTGAGTTTAGAGACTGGTGAACAAGTCCTTGGGCAGCAGAGCAACACAAAAGCCAAGTCCTCTTACCCATCTTGTTTGAGGATTTAAACAGAAATGAAAACGACATTGTATTCAGTGCAAAACATTGAGTTCGACTTTCCCTAACAGAGAAATAACAAAGTGTTATTTGTGCAAATAGGCCAAGAATTGTCCAACACAAAGAGATGATGAATTTCTAATCTTTATTTGACAGGATAAATGTGATCGGTCAGCCAAAAGAGGGAGGTGAGGATAGGAGACGGGCATTTAAGTGCCATTAGTGTGAATAAGACGGTGCACTCTTACTGGCCAACACACAGATATTTTGACACAGAATCACTGTGATGTCACACTTCTGGATTATTGCATTATTGAACAGGTTGACTTGACATGACATAACATAGGGAGAAACACTCCTCCCTTTGTCTCTTCTCTTCATTCCATTTTTCCTTTGATGAATTGGAGAGACTTAAGCACTTATGGTTATGAAAGCCGATTTGCTTGCTCTCATGGACAGAATACTTTAATGAATAGAGACACGACTGGCGTGTGGCGAATACTGACTTATGTCTCGTCGTTGATGTCACACTGTGAGCACAGACATTGTGAGTCACTGGAGACTTCCTGCTACTTGGAGCCAAAAACAAAGACAAAAGTAATGCATTCATAGTTTGACTTTCACCCTTATACTGTTGTATTTTTAAAAGCTAACGGTCAAATAGAGCAGCTGTACTATGCAGCTTTGTGGTTTGTAATAGGGCGTTCTGCAGAGCACTGCAGGTGAGGGAAATATGAGTGGAGGAGAAAGACTGAAAAGGCAAAGCATGAGTGCAAGGTCATTTGAAGTGCTCAGGAAATATAGCCAAGAAAAAAATTGAATCCAGGGGTGAACATGTTTGCCTAATCTGCTTTCTGAAAGATGAGTTTTGGAGATTCCCATCTTAATGAACCATATGGATGAAACTGATAGAGAAATCCACACTTAAAGTCTTAACTGCCAGCTAGTGGCCCTTAATTTCATAAGGGTCAAGTATCATGCAAATAGGAAGAAGGATATGGAGGCTCAGTTAGCAGAGGAAATAGCTAGCAATGGTATTGCCTCACTATGTTTTTATGAATTATCACTAGGTTTTTTTTTTTTTTATTATTGTAAAATTTCACATTACAGTTTATACTAGTTTTGGATCAAATAAATGCAGCCTTGGTGACGAAATGAGGCTTCTAAAATTGTACAGACCCCAAACTTTTAAATGGTACTTAATAAACAAATAAGAAGCACATAATCTGGGAATGACAAGTGTTAAAATTATGCAGAAATCTGCTGATTTGCAAGCACAGGCTCACAGACTTTTACATCGAGTAAATAATGAATTAAAATCAAGGAATCTAAAAAGCCACTGACCAAATGTGCTTTTGATTATGAGAATGGTCATAACCAATGGTTTATATTTTCACGAGAAGCTATTATGTGTTTCTGAAGAAGCAAGCAGTCGTGTGAGAGGACTGATGGGAACAGGAGAGATAGACGAAAAGGATAGAAGACAGAAAGGGAATGAAATGCAAGCAAGTGTAGGAGGCCTAATAATAATGCAGTACTGCTCAGAATTTCAATATGGCAACTTTTCATGTCAGTTTGGCCTTCCAGTCTCTTCATTTTGAACTCTGAGGTGCTTTAAGGGACCAAAGGGACTCATTCAGCTCAGAGCTCATCTGTTCAGTGTTGTACTGAAAAATCACAAGGCTAGGGAAGGATTTTTATGGATGGGAACCCTGTTCTACACCACAGTGGGCCCCCTTTCTGGCAAATTTAACTTTAAAGTACCTTCAGTCTTTATACACAGTCACTGTCACTCACATCTCACCAGGCATCCTCCCTCTTTGTTGTGTGTTGTAGTAATACAATTCACACATTTATTATATTTATAATAATAATACAATACTGCATCAAGGCCCATTTCGAAGGACCAGACACTTGTATGTTCGCACAGAAATCATAATGTTGTTGCAATACATGGATCATGACAGGCTACTAGACCATAAGAAATAAATAAGACAGATTTAACTATGAAAATCTGATAGAAATTATGTTAAAACGGGCATTTAAGTTCATCCCTGTCTGACTAGCTTGCATGTACAGATAACAAGTCATGTGACTCTTGAGGAAGCAGACTGCTCGTTTCGGAGCTTGTGGGTGGTGGATGGCTTTCTGTTTGCAGAGAAGAGTGCTGATTGGCTGCTGAGCAAAGTAAACAGGTGTCTCCTTTCTCTCTGATTGGCTTGTGTGGATTTCACCTAAAAGGAGGGGAAGGTGGACTGGACGAGAGGCCTGAATGAGAATCCTGGACTAAATCCCCACTCTGTGTGAGATTTCAAAAAAGGTTCGTACAAACCTAACGTTAGTCCAGAGTGACATTTGCCCTCTCCTTCGGCAGACCCCCCCTCCTCCCTTCGCCCTCCCATTGCAACTGATGGTGTATAGCGTCCATTGTTGTGGAGGGGGTTGGTGGTTAGTCAGCCGGGTGTGCTGGTGATAGTTTTGGCTGTGTAGTTTTGGAACAGAGGCTGAAGGAACATTCCGACTGTGCCAAAGACACACACAAACACAAAGATCCAGAGAAACAGACGATCGATCACCATGGCGACATACTTCCAGTCCTCACTCACCTGTAAGATAAAAAAAACAGCAGATTAAGGAGTGGGCCGATGGATGGATTTAGGGATGTACAGCAGGGTAGGCATAGTTAAATAAAATGATTACAAATCGTTTTCGTTAACTGAAATAAAGATTAAATAAAAATAAATATTAGATGGAAAAACTTTCCAAAAAATTGGAATGTTGCCTTGGCAACTAACTCATATGAGTTTTAGTACAAAAAATTATTAAAACTAAAACTGAAATAAAAAATTAAAGCTAAATAAAAATATAAAAAAGTAACCTAATAAAAATGACAATAGCTCATAACAAAATTACTAAAATGTAAATTGAAATTAAAACCGAAAATATAAAACTGAAAGCTAATTGAAAATATTAAGGTTAAAATCTAAATGTTATAATAGTATCTAAATAATATAAAAATAACACTGATGTGAACGGAGTGAAATAATTCCCCTCAAAATGTTGTCATTATTTGCTGCAAACTGTTATTTTTTTTAACAGTCGTTATTCCAAACCTGTATACTGTTATTTTCTGTAATTATTTTCCATTCTCTAATTTTCTTTGTTCTCTAAAAATGACAAAAATGCACCATAAAAACATTATTATTAAAAAATTTGAAAATTTAAAATTTGTCAAGACAAACTGAATGTTGGCTTAGGAGTCTTACTTGAAAGTTTTAGAATTTTAAAGTTTGAAGATTTTGTAGGCTTTCATTTAAATTTATGAACCATTTTCCAGAATTCTATTACCTGTTGAATTTCTTTTCCCAACTCTGGTATAACGTGTCTCAGATAGCCTCGTCCCAGAATGGCAATAAAAACTCAAACAATGATTGACTGTGTGGGATTACAAATTTAAGAATCTGTTTAAAATATGCTGATCCTATGTTCTGACATAGCATCACATGAAAAACTAAGGTGAAGTACATTGTATTTAGCATTTAAGGTAAATTACATCAGACAAATGATTATCTTAAGCAAAGTGTAGCAAGAGGTTCCTGTCTGTTCCTGTTCTCTTATTGTTAGTCAAATGAACCAGATTACTGAGACCATCACCTTTTGTTTGTAATGGCTCTTGGTGCCTCTGCCCCAGTCTTTGAGTAGTTATGCTGA